GAAGGAGCATTTCCATTTATCAGAGCCCACCACAACCTCCCCTTCTGACTCAGTTGACCCATGGTGGGGGCTGGGCATCAGTATGTACTGAAAAGCTACCCAAGTGGCTTTAATGTGCAGCCAAAGGCAAGAGCCATTGCTTTAAAGACAGAGGCAAAGTCCATCAACTGTGAACCCTGAGTGTGTATCCAAGTAGATAAGAACGTGCTACTGTTTCATGATTTAACTTTTATTCTATTTATGTGTGTGAGAGAGTCTCCATCCATTGGTCTACTCCCCAGAAGCCTACAATGGCCAAGCCTAGGCCAGGTCAAAGCCAGGAGCCTAAATTTCCATCTGGGTCTTTATGGGTGGAAGGGTCCCAAGGACTCAAGCCATCTTCCACAACTTTCCGAGTGCATTGGCAAGGAGTTGGACTGCAAATAGAACATCCAGGACTCAAACCACGCTCTATCCCATACGGGATGCCAGCTATACCTGAACCCACTACACCAACACCAGTTCTGAAATTGACATTTCAAAAGCAGTTCCTCCCCAGACCCTTGCCCAAGCAAGATCCAGCTAAGCCTCAGTGTTCCAACTATGAGTAAAATGGCTGTGTGAGATCATCACTGCTGCTTGTCCCATTCCCTGCTTCCACCTGTCTGCATTGCCTTCTCTCTTCATGTCTCATTTAAATGCAGGCTGCTTACATACTTGCTTTCCTCTTCTGAAAAGATGTTTTATGTGTCCCCTTGAAATTCGATTTGAGCAGCGCTTGTCCTCTAGGTAAATAATGCCACAGAAGCCATAAACTCTATGATCCAAACCAAAATGTGTAAGCCTAATGATATTCCATTCCAAGGCTGCATAAAATACTCCACTTGCGGGGCTGCAGCTAAGCACTCTATCTGGAAAAGCTCATGCTGAATCATATAGATTCAGTCCCCTGAATACCAAAGTCAGGCCAGCAGCTTGCCCTGCATAGCAACAGCCTCCCACGCTACATATCGGGTTTTCTCCTTTGAGCCTGCTTTAATATCTACTTATCAAGTGGAAAATTCATTTTGGAACTATTTTCAGAGCAAGTACATAGACATCTTTAAGTATATATTAGTTCCATTACTTTAATCCAATGAAACAAATAAATCACTCACCCTACAGCAAACTGAGCAAGTAAAAAGGCAAGCAGTCTCTCAAACAATCCTACTTGGATGAAAAACCGTGTGGAAATACACACAAGATCAACATTTGTGGCAGGATCCAGAAAAAGAAAAGTGGTCTAGGTGGGACCCCATGAATGATGACCCAAAGATGTTTGTGCACATAACACTTACTGAGACGCTCACTTCCACCCAGGAGGGTTCAGGCCCGGACAGCCACCTGGTCATCTCCTCTTGGACATTGTAAGACCTGCTCTCCCAACCCAGCCTATTCAAATGGGAACTCATCACCTGCCGCCTGTTCTGGCTTCCTGAAGACTGACTTGGTTTTCTGAAATGCAAAGCCGCAGAGATAGAGGAAAATGTACACAAAGAGAAAGGGAGGTAGCGAGCAAGAAAGAGAGAAAGAAAATCTTCAGCCATTACTATTTACTCCAGATAGCCACAATGGCCAGGGATGAACCAGGCTGAATCCAGGAGCCAGGAGCTTCATCTGGATCCCCCATCAGGTGGCATGGGGCCTAAGTATTTGGGTTATCTTCTGCTGTTTTTCCAAGCACATTAGCAAGGAGCTGGATTGGGAGTGGAGCAGCCAGGACTTGAGCCAGCACCCATATAAAATGCCAGTGCTGCAGGCCTTGGCTTGACCACATCACAATGTGGTCTTTTGCTCTCGGATTTCAGAAGTCAGTCAGTGATGTTCTCATCCACATACTCACCCCCATCAGAAACCCAGTGGTTATCCTGGATCCTTACCTCTCCCTCAACTCTGTCTCCATTCAGCCTGTCCCAGCTCCTAAGCCCTGGAGACTCCACTTCATTTATGCCCTCATCTTTATCTCTTGCATCCTTATTCCATAGCTTTTACTGTAATGTGTTGCTTTGTCATTTGTCCACCAGATTCTCCCAGTGGCCTCCAAAATATTCCCAACATATCCTAGCCACTGCAATTGTTCCAAATTCCTCTGCAGAAGTCTGTACAGAACCACTGTGACCATGCTCTTCCTTCCACTGAATCCCTTCAATGCTCCCACAGTCTACAGGAGAGAGGTCAAAGGCATGAGCATGATGTTTAGGCCCTCCACAATCCTCCACCAACTTGAGGTCTCCTTCAGGCCCTCTGTCCTGGTCAGAGGAGCTGTCAAGAGTCCCCACTAACCTGTCTCCCATCAGCTCACCTCTGTCCGGGCTGCTCCCTCTGCTTGGGGTATCCCCCTGCCTCTCTACTCTGCCAACACACACTCATTGTCTGGAGCTATCTTCTCGGTGAACCCTCACACCACACCCCCATAGAAGACCTGGGCATCTTGGTGACTGAGCTCCTAGGCATGCTTCCATCACAGCAGCTGGTGCATTTATTCATTTACGAAACTGTGAGCTCATGAACTTCATCTTACCATCTAACCTCAGTGCCCCATAGTGCTACCTTGATGTATTTTGGCAATCCCACACACGTTTGTTCATTGCATCAAGGTCTCCATGACAGTACTTTGGAAGTGGTCCTAGGTCCACACATTGTGATAGAACAGGTTAAGCCATTGCCTGCTATATAGGCATCTCATAGAAGGCCTGGTTCAAATCCTGGCTGCTCTACTGCCCATCCAGTCCCCTGCTCATGTACCTGCCTGGGAAAGCAGTGGTACCTGCGAGTCATATGAGAGATCAGCATGGAGTTTTGGGCTCCTTGCTCCAATCACATCCAGCCCCAGGGTTGTTGCCACCAACTGCAGAATGAACCAGCACATGGAAGCTCTTTTTCTTCTCGCTCCCCTGACCTTCCATAACTATGACTTTGTTATTAAGTAAATCCTTAATAACAAAGTGTGTCCCCAAGTTATTTTCTTTACAGCTCACTTTCCTTACTTAGCTGACAGTTACTTATGATGTAACTTCATTCTCTTATAAATCACAGAGGACCACATAAAAAAGCTGGGTGGGAGGCTGCCTTCTCTCCTGGGAGGTCTTCTCTCTGTCCTTTACTTCTGAAAGAAGGGCCCCGCTTCCCAGCACTTTGACGGAGAGTGAGACACTATTCACAAAATAGTATTCTAAACCCCAGTACTCCTGGAGTGCAAATAACCTCTCCCTGCAGGGGAATGCTGGAGTGAGGCACAACAAAAGCAGAATATCTGTGGCAAAAACCAGAGCTGGCCTACTGAGCAATATCATTGCCCCCTGTGTACAGGGTGGAAAACAGCACCTAGAAACAGCCTTCCTGATCTTCTCATTCCTGAACCCACCAGGCAGCACCTTCAGTTCAACAGCAGACTGCCCCCATACCCACCCAAGCTGAAGCCCTGGCAAGGCTCTGGGCCCACCCAGAATACCACCCCCAATGTCAAAGGCAGTTATGTCCACAACACATCACCAGTATGCTAAATGTCTCCTCCAAGTACTGCAAGTTCCCTATTAGAAAATGGGTATTGGCAACCCATGGTTCATGGAACACAGCATTTTCCTGCTTGTTGCTAACAGGTTGATTTGCTTTTCCAAGATTCTCTTCCATAGAATCATTCCTGGCAATCCTCCTTTGGATAGTAGGAGATGCTTCCGGTTCCTAACAGAGAAGCCAGAATACCTAAAAACAGGTCACACAAATAAGCAAAAACCCTTCCACTCAACAAGCCATTGAGACTTACTTGTTCTGGAATGCAAGTCCCTGTCTGAGTCAAAGTTCAGAACAGGAGAGTCTGTCCTGACCCTCTCAGGAGAGCTGGGTCTGGCAAAGTCTTTCAACAAGGCCCTTCCTGGTGGCCCCAGAGACAGAGAAGGCTTCCTGCTAAAGAACAAAGAAAGCGTGACATCTTGCTTTGACACCCTAGAAAGCCGGTTCCTGTTCTGCCTTGCTTATCTTTACAGAGATTCTTGCTTTGTTGATTTTGAAATCCCCAACAATGCAAGGCTATTTCAAACAGCCTGTATTAAGAGCAAATCAAAATGTCCACAGCACACTACACAGACACACTAAGCATTTGCAAAAGCAAGTAGATCTCAGCCTGGTGTATCCCCACAAACCTTGTGAGATATGGCATAAAGGCTTCATGATGAAGGTGTGGGAAGCAGGACCAGACACTGCACTAATGAAAGATCATCACTCTATGGCCATACCACCCTGAACACGCCCGATCTCGTCTGAAAGATCATCACAGGGTGGGTCCAATCCAGGCAGCACAGTTCTGTCTGCATGTCTGTGCTACAGGAGCCAAGAACGTTTTATTGGATTATTGGATTTCAGTGCAAACATAAGGCAAAAGTCAACTCAACAGTGAACTCCATGGAAACTGCCAGGTCCCTGGTGTCACATTTATGATCAAGAATGAGAGAAACCTTCAAATTCTGAGACAGTTACACTGGGAGGAAGGCTGTTCCAGGCTCTGTCAGAGCTGCACAGTTTCAGGCACTGTGTGCAGCAAGCCTCGTCTCCCTGTTATAAAAGGCAGCAGTGGTAACAGCAGCCAAAAGTGGCACCCACAGTAGTGGTGTGAGTACCCCCGCTTCATAATGCACAACAGCTGCTAGGGTCAGCATCTCACAAACATTTGGCGCATCCCATAATCCTCACAACAACCTAGAAGAGAGAACCTAACTCCACCACACTCAGGAGTCTCGGGTCTCAGGCCCCAGTCCAGGGTCACAAGGGTTCCAGGGAGTGGCAAGGATCTCAGCTTAGCATCAAGTCTGCCCGACAGCTATGCTCTGGAAATAACTACCTGATAGAAGGGGTAGCAGGTCTGCAGGAAATATGCTTGGATGGTGGTACCATTTGTACAGTCTGGGGGCAGCTGACCTCAAAGAAGCCAACCCCAGGGGAGCACAGGCAGGGTTGAAGGAAGGACCTCCCTCCCGGCAGGCACTTACTTCCTCAGCACAGCGATCTCATTCTCTATGCTGCTTTCCTTGCCCTTCAGCGCCTTCTTGGGGATGCACTTCACCGCAAAGAGTTTTCCAGTTGCCTTCTCTTCAGCCAGAACCACTTCAGAAAAGGCGCCACTGTGGACAAAGAAAGAGAGAAGATGGTAAGTCAGGAATGTGGGCTGCATTTCAGTTTTTCTAACACCACCATCAAAGTCGGAGGAACGGGGACAGGCTCAGAGAGGAACAGGGGTAGGCAGCACTGTGGCTCCTTACCAAACTCCCTCCCTTGGGCAATGAAACACACGGAGCAAGCCTTTTTTCTCCCACAGGGACAGCGGATGTCAACGTGGGTTGGCCACCTCCCGGTGCACCTGCAACCCAACTGCTCACTATGGCAACTTGACTGTGAAGCTAGAAGGAGCACTCTCACCTCCCACTGGCAGAGGCTGCTGGTAGATGGCAACACAGGGCCCACCTGCAGCCCTTAACCCGGCCCACCTCCATGAAGAGAGTCAATGCTCACATTCCTGCCCCACCCCAGCACTGTCACCACCCACAGGTGCCCTTTTATCCAAAGAATACCTCAGAGCCCTTCATCAACATGGAATTCACCCTCACAGCTAGGTGAGGATGTAATGTCATCACAGCATGAGCTGTTACAACATGTGGTGTTGACATGGGTTAATTCATTGGGAAAGGTGGGCAAGTTGTCACTGAGCAGCTTGCTTCCCTGTTAACCTGCACGCACTAACAAGGACCAGGCAGGAGGCAGCCCCCGTCCTGTCTGAAAACATGAACTTCACTGTGCGCCCACAGGTCAGGACAGCCCTTTCCACCAACCCTACACACACACACACACACACACACACACACACACACACAAACACAGGTTGGCAAGCCACAGAGCCAGAGTGCAGTGTCATCCCTGGATACTGTTCCCGAGCTGCAGAAGAAATCTCTGCACAATTAGGTCAGGGGGATAGGGCTCCCTGGAGCCTCTAGACCTGAGCCATCCCAGCTAGATGGCATTGCCCAGTAGGTCGGTCTCTCACCCCAGACTTTGAAGAGCAAAGAAGGTCCCCACAACATCAGCAACAAACTCTCCTGAGCCAAAGAAACCACTGGAAGCACCTACGTTTTCCCAATGCCAAGGCCTCCGGGGCCTGTGTCCTTCAGGTACCATCAAAGGGCTGCCAAAACCAGGAGAATTAGACCGTCCATGCCCATCAAATGAGGCTGTGCATTCTGTCACAGGCCAAGGAGGACAAATTTATATTTTGAAAATCCTTCCAGTGAGAGAAATTCACCCCCACAAAAGGAACCATGAGTGTTTAAGGCAATGTTCTCACTGGTATGTGAATTCTCACCATAGAAGTTCCTCCACCTTTCATGTCTGTATCTAATTATAAAAGCCCAGGGAGGCAGGTGGTGGGTAGTAATCACCCCTCAAAATACCCAAATGGAAAATGACCAGAAAAGGATCTTTTGCTCAAATTTACAAGTGTCAGCAAGTAAGACCCTCCCCTCAAGAATACTGTATGCCAAAACTTGTAAAACCAGCCAGAACCATAATCACTCAGTGTAAACACACACAGGGTGGGCAGTTGGCACAGTGACTGAGATGTCACTTGGGATCTCAGGATACAGGGCCGCATCCTGTATCATAATCTCAACTCCACTCTGCATCCCAGCTTCCTGATAATGTGTGGTCTGGGAGGCAGCAGGAGATGGTCCAAGTTTTAGATCCCTGCCCTTCCAAGTGGGAGAACTCAGACTGAGTCCCCAGCTCCTAGCATCAGCCAGAACCGTAAGCCAGTGGATCTGTTTTTCTACGCTTTAAATAAATAAGATTTGCACAACACACACATATAAACCCATGATGCATTTATCACAGGGTGCAAAACTGAATCAGACATTACAAGCAACACTTGGTCGGCAAGAGATATCAGTGTAAAAGAGGGTTTTCCCACTGCAGATCTCAGGAGCTCACAAGCAAAAAAATGCTTCCAGACTCTGTGGTCCACCCCCTCCCTGGAGGAGTAAGGTCACAGCATGAAATGTGTCCCTGCAGAATAACTTGGGGAGAAGGCGGATAAAGCACACCAGAGCCAACCCCTGGGCTGCTGCAACCAGGTAAGCAGCTGGTGGGACAGTACTGTTCCTGCACCACAGTGTCTCTGTCCTCAGAGGGCAGGATCAAGGGGCACAGACAGATCCAAGGCTTTGTGAGCTAAGTGGCCTCACGTCTGGCAAAAACTAGAACGGCCACGAAGACAACTGTGAAAGATGCAGGGCAGGCAGCAGAGGCCTGAGGACTCCCCTCCAGCAGTTACTGAGTAGTCACAAAGCCAAGGTTACATAGTCCCCATTTTCTTGGGTAGAAAAGCCCACCAGCAACTCCACCCTTGGTTGGGAAACTACAGAAACTCCAAGCAGAGACTTCAGCAGGTGTAAGGACAGTCATATTGACAGCACATCTCCCAAACAGTCAAACAGGAAATGACCCCACATGTCCACTGATGCATGGACAAGTGTGGGACACACAAACACAGAGCATTAATCAGCTGTTTAAAAAAAAAGGAATATCACACAATCACACATGAAACCATGTGGGTGAACTGGGAGACCTTATGCCAGGTAAACCAGACCAGTCAGAAAGACAAACACCATGTGACTCACATGAGGGCCCTGGAGTAGTTAAACTCATAGAGACAGACGGTAGAAGGGTAGTGGCCAGAGGCTGGGCAGAAGCGGAGCCTGAAGTTGATATGGGATGGTTCAGAGTTTCTGTCTGGGAAAATGCAAACAATCTGCAGGTGGATGGTTGCAATGGCTGCACAAGGAGGTGAGCATGCCTAATGTCACTGAATCCTAACCTTGCAAACGGTCATGACAGTGAAGGTGATGCTATGCCTGTTACCACAATCGGAAAGTAAAGAAAGAGATTGCTTTGTGGTATAGCAAGTTCAGCCTCCACCTTCAATAAGCAATCAGTTCAAGTCCCGGCTGTTCCACTTCTGCTCCAGCTCTCTGCCAATGAGCCTGAGAGGGCAGCGGAACATGGACTTTGCCAACACACAAAACCCAGATGGAGAGTTGGGCTCTTGGCTTTGGTCTCACCTGGGCCCTGGCCTTCCATCCATATAGAGAGTGAGCCATTGGGTGGAAGATATAGTCTCTCCCTCTCTCTCTTCCCGTGTGTGTGTGTGTGTGTGTGTGTGTGTGTGTGAGAGAGAGAGAGAGAGAGACTGCCTCTCAAATAAATTAAAAATCAATACTAAAAACAATTACAAAGGAAAACAGTTCTACTCACCAACTGCCTAAGAAGTAGAATCCTGTGATACATTTTCTCACTTATTACTTCAAGGAAAAAAAAACTGCATGGATAACGGGTAACTGCAGAAGGGAAGCATGTGGCATGCACCACTTAATGTTGACAAAGTGCTTTGGCATACATCAATCAGTCCTACTCCACAGCTATCATCACCCTAAAAGGTCAGGATACCATCTCTAGTTACCCAGAAAGTACAGAGCCGACCAGAAGGCAGAGGTCTCCTAAGCCCTGCCAGGGCCTCTCAGTATCGGAGGCTGCACTGCCACCACTGCTGCCAATGGTCTAGGCCTCCAGCTTTGGTCTCCAAGGGAGACACCACCCTCCTGAGCACACACACCCACTCGCTTCAGCATTTAACCAAACTGTGCATATTTACTGCCCCTAATCTTCCCAAATACAAAGCTCTTTGGTTTTAAACGATGTGAAACCCATGTAGATCATCCTTGCCCCCCACAAGAAATAGCAATCATTCAAAGACACTGCCCCCTGCTCCAGGAAAGTGAATTACCGACATCAAACACAAAACTCTGTCTGGCAGGGGTGTCTGCAATTCATGACAGGATGCAATGTGTGTGTGTGTGTATAGAGAAGCTGGTGGCAGAAAAAAACAACAGTAAAAAGGATGATCTGAGAGTCTAAGAAGTCTCTAAGAAACCACATTCTAAGAAATCTAAGCAGGACAGCAAAGGGGCAATGTAAGTACAGTATCCACTGGGCAGTCACAGCTGCATACTGGGCTTTCACCTGTAGCCCATTCTTCCTTTTCTACAACTTTCCCCTGGAAAATCAGTATAGCTTCCAGGGTTTCAGCCCCCAGCTATCCACTGAGAGTCTCTGACTGTCATATAAGCTGTCATCTCTCCCGTGTGTTGGTCACCTTCATCCCAATCGCCTCCTCAGCCCCTCACCAGCCTCTCGAGGAGCACCCTAACCAGAGCAAAAGCAACATCTTAATTGCAAAACTTCCTGTCACTTCCACAGAGTGAGTAATCCATAACCTTTCCATTCTCCCTCTCACTGCCATCTTGAAGCACATACAGGGCCCCTGCAGAAGACACCCACCAGTGTCAATCCATTCTTCCATCCCTATACCACCGCTCCGGCTCAAGTCTTAGTTATTTAGCCTTTGAATAACAGGTGCCTCTGCCCTAGCAACTAAATCTATCTCCCACATACTCCCAGAAATACAGCTCTAACTCAGAATGCTTGAAACCTTTAGGGTTTCAAGGCTTAGTAAAAAGCACAAACTCGCGGCCAGTGACCAGCCACTCAAAGGCCCTTCCAAGCCTGATCCCCAATTTGGCATCCTCCTCTGCCAATAACAGCTCCAGAGCCTCCCAACTCAGAACCTCCCCATGCCACCCATACCACCTCAACCCAAGCACATAAGGCAGCTGGCAGTTTCCCAAACACACACATGCCCTGTCACACTACTGGCCTCGTTCAAGCTCCACCCACCTCCTCTTCCCTGATTGTCTCCTTTCTCCTTAGTGAAATTATACTGTGTTTTGTTTTGTTTCAACAGGTTCAGATGGTATACTCCCTTCTCTTGTAGGGTTTTCTCAATCACTTTTAGCCCCCATACATCTGATACCCTCTGATGAAACCCCACTGGAGCATTCCCATCCCAGACTTTTATCTGCCTACCTACACGATGAGAAGCAGCAGGTCATTCTTTTCTGTGTCTCCACACCTAACAACATGGTGTTAACTGGTACCCAGGATGATATAGATGATCACCAATCTCTGGGGCTTGCCTCTGCCTGCTCACTGCTCTTGTGCTGCATACTCACAAAGTAAG